TTCGGGCCTAGACCCTTCATCAGGGTCTAGGCCCGAAACGTCAGCCTCTCTGCTCCTATGATGCTGCTTGGCCTGCTGTGTTCATCCAGCCCTGCACCTTGTTGTCTCGGATTCTCCAGCATCTGCAGTTCCTACTATCTCTAGCAATAATACCAATAGGCCATTGCCCCTTCACTGAAAATATATTCAACATTTTAATAGTTTTGACAATGTCAAACAGCCTCCTGCTGCACCAAAACAATTGGGATTCTGTGATTATTCAGAAAGTTATAGAACCTCGAGAATTTAAACTAATCCTTGAGCCAGTTCTTTGTTAGTTCAATTTAAAACAGAGATGAAGCTAAGCGATTTCACGACCAACATACCAGACCTAAACTCTGCAGTCCTGCCACATCCAGTTGTGAACGTTGATCAAATAAACTCACTGGAGGCAGCTCCACAAATATCCCCATCTTCAACAATGGGGAAGCCCAGCGCATGTGCAAATGATAATGCTGAAACATTTGCAACAATCTTCAGCCAACAGCACCGAGTGAATGATGTCTCCAGCATCACATATGCTAGTCTTTATCCAATTCGAATCACTCAATGTGATATCAATAGACAGCTAGAGACACTAGATACTGCAAAGGCTATGGACCCAGACAATATTCCAGCAATAGTACTGAAGGCTTGTACTCCAGAACTTACAGCACTCCTAACCAAGCTGTTCCAGAACATCTACAACATCAGCATTTATCCAACAGTATGGAAAATTGCCCACATACATCATATACACAAAAAGCAGGCCAAATACAACTCAGCTAACTACTGCCCCAGTCCATACTCGATCAGCAAAATGGTGGAAGGTATCATCAACACTGCTATCAAGCAGCACCTGCTCAGTGATGCCAGTTCAGGTACTGCCAGGGCCACTCAGCTCCTGACCTCATTCTGGCCTTGGTTCAAACATAGACAAAAGAGCTGAATTCAAGAGATGAGGTGGTGAGTGACAATCCTGGACATCAAGGCTTCACTTGACTGAATGAGGCATCAAGGTGCCCTAGTAAAACTGGAGTCAATGGGAACCAGGGGAAAAACTCTCCTTTGGTTGGAGTCATATCTGGCACACAGGAATATGGCTGTTTGTTGGAGGTCTGTCACTTCAGTACAAGCTCCTCAGGGAAGTTCTTCAGTACAAGTTCTTCCCAACATAAGTAACGTTCACTGATTGTCCAACAACGTTCAGCACCATTCATGACTCCTCAGATACCGAAGCAGTCCATGTCCAAACGCAGCAAACCTGGACAATATCAGGCTTGAGCTGACAAATAGCAAGTAACAAATGCCAAGCAATGACCATCTCCAATGAGGTACATTACTGCCCCTTGACCGTTAGTCAATAGCATCACAATCACTGAATAACCCACCACCATCAACATCTTGGGAGGTTACCACAGTGACCAGAAACTGAACTGAACAAACCATATAAATACAGTGGGTACGTGAGGCTAGGAATACTGCAGTGAGTAACTCATCTCCTGACTCCCCAAAGCCCATCAACCATCTACAAGGCCCAAAGTCTAGAGTGTGATGGAATACTCCTCACTTGCCTGGAGCTCAGTTTCAACAACATAAGAAAGCTCGACACCGTCCAGGGCAAAGCAAACCGTTTGATTGGTACCACATTCAGTCACTCCACCATTACTCAGTAACAGCAGTGTACACCATCCACAAGCTGCACTGCTCAAATTCAAAGATTCTTAGAGTTCACCATCAAAACTCAGACTACTTTCATCCAGAAAGACAACAGCAACAAATATATGGGACCAGTACAGCCTGAACATTCCCCTCCAAGCCACTCACTATCCTGACTTGGAAATATCTCACCTTGAGTTTCATTAAGGAGAGAATTCCAGGATTCACCCAAAGGCATTGTGGGTCTACCTACATCACAAAATCTGCAGCAGTTCACAATCACAGTCTCAAGGGCAACTAGTGACAGGCTTTAAATGCTCGCCTAGCCAACGAGGCACATGTTCCATGAGTAAATAGTATATACTTTAAATTCTAGGGGTCCAGAATTTATAGCCAGCAACGAATCTCGGCATTAACCTCGAAGAAAGTTGCTGACAAAGATTTCATGGTCTTGCTGCATAGATGACACTATTCCCCCAAGAAATTTGACATCAAGTCAAGGGAATCTTCAGGCATCTAGCAACAGTGATGACATTATGCGGATAAGCACCTAACCTCATTGAAGAATTATCAGCCAGAGTCAACCAGCAAGTTAAAAGCACTCATTAACATCAGCCTGAGAAAAATAAACACTGGAATGTAGATATGGGATGAAGGATGGGCTGATATAAACAAAGTTAATTTTTTTTTAAAATAGACATTCCAGAATTAAAATGTTTTTCTCTTTATCAGAGAGATTGTTTAAAGGAAATTATGAATTTTGTACACCATTAAAATCTCTACTGTACCACATTCAACAATTTTTAACTTTCTCAAGGATGCATACAGTGAGACTAATAGCATGAAAGGCAAAGTCTCGATCAATTCTGATTTTTAATTCTTACAGTGCAACCTGTGGAGAAGCATAGAATCACTCTCAGCAACATTATTCTGTACTCATGCAGCCTCAAAGTTGCAGTCAATATCAAGAAAAGTAATAATGATGAATGCTGACAGTTTCACTGTCTTCACAGCAGATTCCTGGCCAATATCCTGCTCACTTTTCAAAACATTGTATATTTTCTTCCTTTTTTGTTTTACTTTTTAAATGACATAATGGCCCCTTTTATAACTACATTTTGTTGTAGAACAACTCTGTATAAAGAGATTTCTCACATCTTCACCCCACACTGTCATGAGTTTACTGTAAAGGATGGGTACCTCAGTACTGATTCACCAATCATAGGAAGGCCTTGATCTACTAACCTTTCCAAAATGAGTCAAAATTCTAAACCCACTATCATGCCTCTTAAGTCCATCCTGCTCAACTGGAAATAGCTTCAGTATCTC